CTTGAGCGGTTTCTGCTGTACAATGTACATGCCTTGCAACTACAATGGCTACAACTTTGCTGTTCATTGCTCTTTTAAGCCAGTTGCTATTCTCTCTTCTTTGAAGCCAACGCCACTATTTGTTCTTCTTGCTGGCTTGCAGTGTATATTGTCAGTGGACAGACGGAAGCTGAACGAAACCTTACTCACAGGTATGAAGCTGGAAAGCACAGCACGTCTTTGTGTAGCTAGCAACAATGTAGTGAAGTAGTACTGAGCACGTCTTTGTGTAGCTAGCAACAATGTAGTGCAGTAGTGCTGAGCACGTCTTTGTGTAGCTAGCAACAATGTAGTGAAGTAGTACTGAGCACGTCTTTGTGTGGCTAGCAACAATGTAATGAAGTAGTGCTGAGCACATCTTTGTGTAGCTAGCAACAATGTAGTGCAGTAGTGCTGAGCACGTCTTTGTTTTGCTAGCAACAATGTAGTGCAGTGGTGCTGAGCACGTCTTTGTGTAGCTAGCAACAATGTAGTGCTGAGCACGTCTTTGTGTAGCTAGCAACAATGTAGTGCAGTGGTGCTGAGCACGTCTTTGTGTAGCTAGCAACAATGTAGTGCTGAGCACGTCTTTGTGTAGCTAGCAACAATGTAGTGCTGATGAGGTTGCTGCTGTAGCTGTTGTGGTTGTGAGAGCCAAACCTACTGTACCTTTTTATTGTACTGCCCTAGCTAAGCCAAGCCGGGCCGCATAGGGCTTGAAAGTGATGACGTCAAAAACGGCCAGGGAGTACTAAGTTGACATCAGATTTCTATTTTGGATCCACTAAGGTGTGACTTTGCTATTGCCTCAGTATGTGGGTGCATAGCAACCCACTCATGTCGTATGCAGGGGTGATTTTTCTTCGCCACCAGTTGTAACCCCGCCCCCAGTAGCCAAATCAGTCAGTTTCACTGGTTACATCGCCTTGCTGTGAGTAAGACGGCTTGAAATGTGCTTGGATCCATACAAAAACTGGATCCAAGTGGATCCAATTTTTGAATTTTTGAAATTGTTGCTTTGCTGTGACGTAGCACTTTCAAGCCCTATTATGGTCTATAATGTACATTTGTGTGAATCCGAGCGCATCTGAACCTGCCCATCCACTTCTGCCGTGCGTCTTGTGTCATATTCAGCTGCTGAGAAGTGCCCGAATGTTGACATGCATTTCGATCACAAGCTGTCGCGATGTAATATCAAGACAGGGGAGATGACCTACATCAAGTGAGTGTTCAGTTTGCTTCTGTTGTGTGTGTGTGTGTCCGGTCTTGGTGATTCTTTAATTCAGTGGCATTCTCAACGTGTTGGTGATTGTTGTGTGAAATTCTGTACGTGACTGTAATCAATGAGAGGGTTTCCAACTCACCGAAGGATCTGTGGTCTCCGCCGGGTCTAATGGAATCCTATTGACCACCATGTGTACTTGAAGCACCAAGAGTGCATGACCCCCAAGAGTGTGCAACTCCAGCTATGGGGACGACCCCACCGGTCTGCAACGGCAGAACTTCACATCACGTGAGGAACCCGTACACATTTTGCACTCTGTGCATGATAGATACAGGGTTGTACGCAGCCCAGCTTTGGGTACAACTCTCTTGTGGTCACTTTGCACTGTTTAACCAGCATAACCTTTTGAACCATGTCACGTGATGTGAAGTTCTGCCGTCGCAGCACTGTATAGAGGTTGTGTAGGCAGTTGCACACTCTTGGGGGTTATGTACTCTTGGTGGTACATACAAACACAGGTTTAACTCTCTACTTGCCCAATGGCTGGAGTGAGGTTAAAGATTAAACTCATGAATGAAGAATGCTTGCAATGCTGTTTTTTGCCGCCATCGAATCATGGGTTGTGTGTATGGGTGTGTGTGTGTGTGTGTGTGTGAGAGAGAGAGAGAGAGAGAGAGAGAGAGAGAGAGAGAGAGTGTGTGTGTGTTCTGATTTTTTTCTCCTGTGGCTGTGAGTACCTGGGTTTGTCTGCGTAATCCAATATCTTGAAGCGGTTAACTTAAGCTACCATGTCATAGTTGAATCAAATCATTTGTGTGTGTGTGTGTGTGTGTGTGTGTGTGTGTGTGTGTGTGTGTGTGTGTGTGTGTGTGTGTGTGTGTGTATGTCTGTCTGTGTGTCTGTGTTGTAGCTATGATAACACAAGGGAAACAACCGCTGATCTTGTTGTTGGCTGTGATGGTGCCTTCTCTGCTGTTCGTCGATCTGCAATGCGATCAACAAGGTGCGTCTTCAGTCTCTTTACCTTCCAGTTCGCACCATACTAGCAATGATGTTTCATTTTTATTCATAGCCAAATCAATGTGTCTGCTGCATAGTCAGTGCCCTGGTAATCGTGTTGTCCCATGAGCTGGGGAGGAGTGTGTCATGGTGCCGAACTGCTTTTCATGTGTGTCCTTTTGCAATGTGGTACACTTGTCTCCACGGTTTTAGTAGAAGTGGACAGCCGTGTTGATTTCTTTTGTCAATCTGTGTGTGTGTGTGTGTGTGTGTGTGTGTGTGTGTGTGTGTGTGTGTTCCGTCTGTCTTTGTGTCGTTTCTTTATCTCTGCAGGCTAAATTACCAGCAGGAGTACATTCCACATGGCTACAAGGAACTGACAATGCCACCTAAGGAGGACGGAACAGTAAGCAGTTTTGTGTCAGTTGTGTATTGCGATACCTTCAGAGACTTCAGGAGTTGCTGTGACTGTCACGCTACAGGCACGAGTTTGTGTTGTTATTCCAACCGTTGTCAAGCGTTCACGCACTCGCACACTCATGCACACACGCGCTCACGTGCGTACACACACACGTGTACACACATACACACATGTACAGACACACACATACACACACTCACTCACATACACACATACACACACTCACATACACACATACACACATACACACATACACATGTACACACACCACATACACACACACACCACACACACACCACACACACACCACACACACACACACACACTCAAACACACACTTGTACTTGTACTTGTACTTGTTGCTCACTGCCAAAACTGGTCACGTGGGTCTCCCCGGGAGAGGGAGAGAGACTCAAAAGGAATCTTGGAAAGATGATTCAACTGGCTATTGAACCGCCCAACGGCCGACACCCCCTGAAATCCCCAAAACTCTGGGTGGACTTGAAAATGATCCCACTTATGGGCTCACCACACCTCAGTAAGTGGGTGAGGACAAGGTGCAGAAAAAGGATTGACGTCATCAGGGTATCCGTCCTGGGATCCAACTGCAGTTACCCCTGCCCCCAGTGAAGGTAATACTTGCTACTAATGTGGGTGGCTAAATCAGAGTGGATCTGATATAAGCGTCACTAGCACCATTGATTACACAAGAGTTAATCTAGCCAGAAGCAGTCCATGGTTAACAGGTATGTATACTTCAAATAGAAAGTATACGGACCCTGAAACCAACAAAGGTGGCAGATACAACAATACACCTTCAAGCAGCCGAGCCTGTTGGCAACAGACCCAACACAATCAGGCATAAGTGTACCCACCAACCGAACTAGCACACACACACACACACACACACACACACACACACACACACACACATGTACTTGGTCCGGCTCATCGCAATTGTCGCTTATCTATCGCCACTAAGAACAGGAGTTTTTTTACCGCTCTGTGAAATTTCCAACAGGCATAGTGAGGAAGCATGATACATGAATACTCTCCGCCACAAGAAAAAAACTCAGCAATTGAATCAGGTGAAGCGAGTCGAAGAAAGGAAGCAAGGTAAGCAAAATGCACGACATAAATCAGCGAAGAAGCGCGTTCTTGCACTCACACTAGTAATACAGGTCCAAAGTTCATTCAACTCTGCATCTCCCGAGCCGCGCCGTTACATGAGCTGACATTTGCTGGTGTCTAGCTGCTAGCTGGCGTAGACTGGTAGAGTATCTCTTGCGTTCTCAGCCTATCGTATGGCAGCAATGGGAATGAAACAGTTGTGGCTGTCACTTCGGTGCTTGAAGGAACCGTGGGCAGTGTGACCTGTGGGTCACCACAGTGTGTTTCAACAAAGCTTTCGAATGAGGCATACAGGCCTCTCCAGACAGCTGTCATACGCTCCGCTGGATACGCTGGCCACGACTCTTGTAATGCGGCTTCTAGGTCCACCAAGAGAAGGAACAACCAACACGTCGGCCGGGCGCATCGCATCAAAAACACCTTTCTTCTTCAGCATGACGCTCATACTCCTCTTCCGTGCACGCGTGCCTGTCGCGCTCTCCAGGCCAGGATGTCAGTTGCCCCTGCTACAGTTCCGGTCTTCGGGTCGCTGCGCTTGGCTTTTGGCAACACAGACAGTGAATGGCCAGATTCCCACTTCCCAAAAAAATCGAATACATCGCAATTCAAAGCGCTAGTCGCGATCATTTTTTCTTTGGTGCCTCCTTTGATCTTGCCATCACGATCTCCCAAGCAAAAGTAAGTTAGATTTCGTGATTGGACTGGGTTTTACCTGTCAAAAAGTGCTTGGGGGATAAGCGACAATTGCGATGAGCCGGTCCAAGTATACACAATATTGTTAACAGTCAATTGCTGTTCAGTTGTGACATTTACTGGACTGTTACCATTCTTTGCATTTTCTATGACTACGTATAAGTCTATAACCACTGACCCCTAAGTGGTATGAATGTCGTTCAGCCCGCCAAATCCTTTCTACCCAACCATTCATGGACTGCTGCTGGTGTTGCTGATTTGCTGATTGGAGGATGGATGGCATCTGGCCATTCTTTTCTGCTATATCTTTGGCTGGATCATTCATTGCTCTTCGCTGTGTTTTATTTGATTGTTCTTCAGCATGCGATGGCCAAGAACTGCTTGCATATATGGCCACGGAACGAATTCATGATGATCGCTCTTCCCAACCAGGTGCGTGTGTGTGTGTGCGTACGCGTGTGTGTGTGTGTGTGTGTGTGTGTGTGTGTGTGTGTGTGTGTGTGTGTGCGTACG